TATATGGATCTCACACACACTCTCACACTCAAAAAAAAAAAAAGGGCTGAAGCCTCAAACCCTGGGAACCTTTGCAAGGCTGAGAGCAGGAGCTGAGGCGCTAAAGTCCCAATTCCCAGCCCCCCAGACTGAAACCAGGAGTCAGGTCTGAATCCTAGAGCTCCCCATGCAGCAGAATCCCCCAAGCCATTGGGTAGACCTAAGGGGCACTGGGGATATTGCCTTTCCCTCCCCTCCACCCCCAAAAGAAAAAAAACAAAGTGCAGAGCACAGTTTGGAAGCACGAAGTCAGAGCCGGGCAGGGTGGGGCAGCTGCTGCTCTGGCTGTATGCTGTTCCCTCCTCTGCTACCGCTGCCCTTGTGCAGCGGGTTGAAGCTGCCCCTTCAGCTCCCAGCCTCCTTTGCTCACACCCTGTAAGAGCCACAGGGGTAGGGGACCCAGATCCTACACAGTGCCAACTTCTGAAATAACACACTATTTTGAGATATCCCTTAGCCCTCGTCGAATGAGGGTTACAGGGATGCCAGAATAGTGTGCCCATGATTTTGAAAAATATTTTGAAATAACAGGCTGCTTGTTAAGACTGGGTAGCTATTTCAGGATACCTCCAATATCCCGAAATAGCTGCACAGTGTAGACATACTATTAGTGAAAAGCTTGTTGGGCTGTGTGTAGACAGTGCCAATAAAAATTCTGATGGTGCTAAATATGCTGGGGAAAACAAGGCATGGCAAAATCTGCAAGTCCAATTAAAGAAGAGCTCTTTGGTTTTGGTTGCGATGCTCACATTGTTCATAACTACTGTACTGCCAGCAGCAGCCGACTGTCTTCCAATTGTTTTGGTGTTCTCTGCTGTGAAAGTGTATAAAAACAAGGTGTAGGGGTTGGGAGTTCTGGGTATGGGGTGGGAGGTGGGGGGCTCAGGGCAGAGGAATGGGAGGTGTGGGGGCTTTTACTGGAGCCACCCACTGTGGGAAATGTATGGGGGGGTGGCTCATCCCAGGGGACTGGTGCGTACTTCCCAGCTCCCTACAGCCAGTAGTTATTGGAAGGGTGCTGTTTTGCTCCTCTGGCTGGTGGCTGCTGACATGGGGTGGCTATCTGGCTCCCCAGATGACCAGCATGCCTGACCCCCATCAGTCCCTTTGGGCTAACCCTGATGAACTGCCACTGTTTTATTGCCCATCCCTCGTTGAGGAGGAGTTTGTGAACAAATGGACTTACGGACAGATGAACAGACAAACCGATACCTATTTCTAAAACACAGAGCCAGATAACGTAGTATTCCTTTTAATGGGGGCTCAGTCAACTTAATGTTATTTTGAACATATGTGCTGCATAGGTCTGATGGATTGTTGTTGAACTAACTTAAATCAGAGCAATTTTACCAGATGCCCCATATTTGGCAGAAGGAAGTATGGTCACCCTACATGTAGCCAGATACCTAAAACTCTGACTTATTACTAGAGCTGCTGGAAATTATACATTGTGTAAACTCCATGCTTTAGTGTGAATTTAGATTCTCCAAATGAGTCTCATTGTTTTCCATAGAATGTACATTTTTCATTAAACTATTATTTTTATTTTTATTTCTAACTTTCTGGCGGCAGCTAACCTGCTGAATGTGATCCAAGTAGTCCTGTCTTGCTCTAGACTGCAGACAGAAAGCTCTCAACAATGCGATTAGTGCCATTGGTATGCATGGTATCTCCTATGTTCTTCAAATCTAAAATGATTCCTTGCTACAGAATTTGTCCTTCAGAATTTTGCATGAAAAAAACAAATCAAACAGAGGCACTTGGCATCTGCGAGGGGTACAAGGAGGGCCACCAAGAGGAATAGGGAGGGGGGCATGAGTGAGCACCCCACTTAGCAAATCAAATTTTGATAGAGATCCAAGGGGGCAGTGCTTCTCCTGGGTTGTACCACAAGTCGTGTACGAAACAAAGCGTCTGTGGCCCTTTTGGTAGCAAAGACAACTCCAAAAATGAGAGCTGAATGCAAATTCTTGAAAACTTGTTCGCTAATCCTGAGTCTGCATTCTAAACCATTGGGGCTGAGACGCATAGTCTATCCCATTCAGCTAACAGAAACAATGTAAATGTCATCTTTCTCAACAATTGTTTTTAACATTCAAAATAAATAACAGGCACTACAGGGGCACATGTAATACCCACTTTTGTGTTCCAGTAACTAAACCCCCAGTATTTTGATTGTATAAATCAGCCACAATCTGTTAAATCAGAGTGACAGAGACTCCATGGAATTCTTGCCATAAATCATACAGGGCCCTGGAGTACCTCTTCGAGGCTTCTCATTCATTTCAGTTGCGTCTAAACTCTGAAGCCTAATGACAACAATTTAAACGTCAACATTAACTCATTGCTTTTTATGTTTCAAAGCTGTGACGTAGTGGGGATTTTTGTCCTCTCTTGTAGTCTACTGTGTTCACTCTGGTTTTGTATTCACTGTTTGTTTTGTTGTGCTGCATGCGATTTCTACTATCCTGTGCTGTTTTAGAGAGAGAGAGAGCGCGCGCACCTCAGTTTCCTTGGGCACTGCAGCACTATTTGCATTAGGAGAAGAAGGCTGGGTATGACTCTCTGAGGAAATATGCCTGGGTACGTCTACACTACAACGTTAATTCGAACTAACTTAGTTCGAATTATTTAATTCGAACTAAGCTAATTTGAACTAACGCATCTAGAACTAAAAACTAGTTCGAATTAGCGTTTTGCTAATTGGAACTAGCGCGTCCACATTAAGTGGACCCTGAACCAGGCTTAAGGATGGCCGGAAGCAGTGCCGGCAGGGCGTCAGAGGAGGACTTAGAGCGTGGAGATGCTGTCTCAGGCTAGCCAAGGACTGTGCTTAAAGGGTCCCGACCCCCACCCCGGACAGACAGTTCTCAGGGGTGCCCCGCTTGCAAAGCAGTCCTGGCTTGGAGTGCCCTGAGTGCCCACACTGGACACATCACAGCACTCGGCCATCAGCC